ACTGTATGTATGCTTAAGTGTGCAATATACATAACCATGTTACCAAGTTTTTGTTAATTTATTTAATAGCATAGTTTTTACTGTCATTGCTTGACTGTCCACTTTTTATGCTTTGATTTTATAACTTGAACAACTATTTCTATGATAACAATATACAATTGATCACTAGTGATTCCTTACTACTTTTTGAAATTCTATATATTTCTACCCTTTTTTTCTGTTTTCCTTTTTTCCAAATAAAAAATAAAATAATATTTAGCAAATTGATCCTAGTTGCTTTAAACTACCATCCTCTGATTATAATACCTGAGATAACTGTGGATCTAGCTAAAAGACTGCATTTTCTCACATATATTTAGAACTCAAAATGTCCCATGTCTAATAGTTCTGCATATTGTTCCACATAAAGTCTTTTGCAGCTGAAGAATATTTGCAAAGAATGCTTCTTAGAGAGAGTAATAGCATCTTCCTTAATTTTAGTGAGAGTGAGGGCTGATTATAGAGCTTCTATCTGGAATAGGTAGCAACAGGGGCTGTGCCTCAGCTTCAGTTAAGTTCAGTCCCTCTGTGATTTATCATTTAAACTTTCATCTATTAGCTCTGCTTCTATTTTTTAAATTCTCATGTTATTTCTTTTTAAATTCACAGATACATTTATCACATTGGTTTGAATCTGAATCCAAAAGTTGGAAATCATAGAACACAGTTCCAATAATTCCTAAAGCCACAAGCTCCACTTGGGAATGGACTAGGGAAGAAGGTGCTCAAGACACATGGTTGGGAGATGACTTTTAGAGCACCAGAGAGCTCACATTGCTTCCACTTCAGATTCTCTTACCCCAGAGCCCAATCATTATGTGACACGCAGTGGGATTGGACTAATGTGAATTTAGCTCAGCACAAGAGAAGTGGTGATGACTACATGGTTCTGCCCTTGTGAATCCTTCATTCTATGTATCAAGGGAACTTAGAGAAAAGTTCTGAGCACAGCTCTTCCCAGATGGCTGTGATCCTTCAGAGAATAAAATAATGAAAATAGTGAAATGCTCTACTGGTGACTAAACTGTTCTGTCCTCCCAAGTGGAGTCTTGTCAGCTTTCTGCTGACACTAAAGTTAGAGGCCTATTTAGAGATGAGCTAATGATGGGCTTCCCATAAAACTATGCTGACTCTTCTCAGGTGTAGCAAAGTCCTCCACACATCGTAGTAGGTAAGTGGGTCTTTATGCAAGGGATGTAGAATAAGTTGGGTGAACAGGGTCCTGGACACACCATGCAGGGAAGTCGGGGTGGGCTTAATCAAGAGTTTGTTGGATTCAGATGAACACTGCAGCTCCAGCTACCATACCACTCAAATGTTCATCCCCTTGTGCAATTGGGAAATTATCTAGTAATTAAATTTAATGATTTAAAATTAGCATACCTTTTCATATAAAATTAAACTAATTTCAAGTATGCTTTTCTTTATCTAAATGAAGTGACTAGTTTACTACCTAAAACAATTCTCAGAGAAAATATTGTCATTTTAGAGTGTAGCTTCAAAATTTGTACTTATGCTCCTTATTAAGAAGATTCCTTTATGAGTCTTTGATAAATATTCTGTTTTTCTTCTACCATTTTATAAGGCATTTAAAATATATTTTAAAATATATTTGGAAATATAGTTGTTTATTTTAAAAGTTTCAAATTTGTTAGTATTTAGTGAGGTTCTTTCTTTAGAGAATCCTTCCATAGACAGAACTTACCTTCACTCTTCTATAATCAGTGTTACACTTTGGCATATGGGCCCTTCTATTTCCAATATGAACTTTACAATTTTGGTCAAGTGCTCTACCATGTTAGAAAACCTCATTTCAAAGCACAGCAAAAGTTAATTCTCTAGTGATATTTAAAAAAAGAAAATAAAGTGATTACAATAGATCCTTCTTCTGCCTTTCTAGAAGATGTGTAAGAATACAGTCTGTCAGAGTTTTATGAATAGAAAGACTATTTTTGTCCATTTATATGTCTCCATCCATCTTTACTGTAAAAACACTGTTATTAAATCATTGGTAATGACTATACCAATTGAGAAAAATATTTAAAACACAGTATTTTTATTTTCTATGATCTCAATTTCATTTCTCAGTGTTAGATTTCTTCACCTAACCCTGGTTATTTAAGCATTTATTGGCAGCAGGTAAATACGGAGTAGACCTTTCTTTACAGTAAATTATAAAGATTATGAAGAAAAATGAAATTGAAAACTAGTTCACAAAGGCATAAGATGGCCCTCATGTAATTACTAGACTGAGGAGGAAAATCTCATACACAGCTGGAATGTCCATTGTAACAAAGTGCCATTAGGGTTTCCTGTTTCTGAACTTTGTAATAGAAATGAGCTTCTCTTGATATTGCTCAAAATGCAATTAAACATCTTGATATGGTAAGCACCCATGAAGAATCAAGTCACAATCCCCCAGGCATTTATGAGTCTTTTGAACCAAAAAAAAAAAAAAAACCCATAATTTTCATTATTTGGTGGGAGTAAATAGTATTCACCTACTGAAATAGTATTGAAAATTTGTTCTACCTTTTTTTGGAAGGGACACATTTCACAATTTTGTGCACTCAGGACTAACCATCTTGTTGTCAATGACACTGACTTCCCCTTGAGAGTCAGCTCTTTATCCCCTATTCTCTTTTAGTTTTCTATTTTTAATTCTGTCAAGCAATGGAGTTTATTAACAAATATATCCACACACTTACTTGTTTCCCATATGTATGCTGAATCTCACTACCAGTCCAATTTTCTATTTCACTCTCATTTGTTAATGAGAACAATGTTGAAGACAGTGATGTGACATTGATTTGTTGATTCTAGTAATAAGAAAACATCAGGGTGTCTTTTTTTTGTATCTCAGGTACTTGATAGTGTGCTGAACATATATAATTTCATCTCTGAGCTATTAATATGTATACTATGCTCATATTGCAGATGATGAACGATGTATTCCCAATGCAATTGTGTGTGTGTGTGTGTGTGTGTGTGTGTGTGTGTGTGTGTGTGTCACAATCAGGCCAACTCCAAAACCAGAGGTACTCAAATTTGCACAGGAGTCTGTAGAGACTTCTCCCTCTCCCACTGATTCCAGTTCTCTCCTGCCACTTTCTCAATTTCATGGACCTGAGCATTATTCCCTATTTATGGCACATTTTATGATAATATCTATCACTAGATGGTCAGTAGTCTCAGGAACTGTAGAAATAACTCTGTTTCTGTAAGTCGTTTCTGAATGATGAGAGAATTAAAGAGAATATTTACTTCATTATGTTCCTCTTATGGGTGCACTATGCTTCACTGTGAGTCACCAAATTTTCCAAAAATGACTGGTCCAAAATAATGTACAGATTTCTTTTTGCTATTTCTTCCTCCTTCTTTTTAATTTATCCCTGTGATGCCCACTAGAATTTTTCTACCTCATTCTCAGCATGGTTTCATCAGGCCTTCCTTCTGAGTTACTTGTGATTTATTCACATATTTATTAACCTCTAGTCTCTCTGAGAGCAACTTTTTTCCTACACTGTGTGCATCAAGATTTTTGTGCTTCCTGTCTTAGGTCTTCTAGTGCCTTAACAGGTAGCATGGTCAGTCCTAAAAGTTATATTACCAGAAAAGTCTCCTAGTTCATCCTGCCAGTGGAGAGAGTTCCTGTTCTGTCCCCTAAGCTCCTCAGTTGTGTGGGGTAAGGCAAGTATGAGCAGGTTGAGGTATGACTGGAAAGGAAGGATTACACCTTGTTTTCATGAGATGTCCATATACTCCAGAATGTATTTCTTATAATACCTTAATTTAGAATCAGCTATAAATCTTTTCCCTTTAAATCTTTCCCACTCAAGCACAGTTCAAAGATATTTTGAGTATGTGTTTCAATAATACAGATTTGTGAAACCCATACAATTTAGAAACAGATGATTGACCATAAGTTTTGTCACCTCTCTGAGTGCTCCATAGAAGGTAATATGCTGTGACTCCTTCAAATTATGTCATTTTCTTAAACTAGTGCTCTGGATAAATCAAACTTTTTTCCTCCAAAGTAGTTTTTCCAGGTTCAAGTGATGACCCTCTGATATCATGATACCATAAGATATATGTAAGCCTGTCACATTTGCTTACATCTGCCTGGCCTAGTCATTTGCTTTGAAGCAGAAGCCCAGTAAATAATGTTGAAAATGATACAGTTCTATCCTCTCATTTGGCAGAAGATTTTACTACTATCTGTGAGCAACTGGAAAATGTTTTACATTGGTTAAGATTAAATTGCTGAAACAAAATTAACCTATAGATTCAATTTCAGAGAAATCACACTAAAAAACAAATGCACAATTCACATTTAATTTATGCCATCTCAGTCTTTTAATATACTACATTTAAGTATTGTTTTATATTTATTAATGGTGTTTCTTTGAACACTATTGGGTATATTTTATAAATTACAGTAAGTAGATTTTTAACAAATATCATCTGTATGTACAGGAAATACAAGACCATTTAGGTGTCCATATTTTGTGACACTGTGTGACCCACAAACTCAGAGACTGCTATATAACCTGATTAAAATGTTGGAGTGTCCTTTTCTGGACACATGTGAGGAAATCTTCATTTACTGAGTAAGTCAATGCAGGTATAAAGGGAAATAAAACAGTAGATTTTGAAAATTAAATATGTGGTGAAATGAGAATACATTTTTTCTCATGACTGTTTCATTGCCAAGGTGGAGTGGCAGCCCATCAGGAAGGCTCATAGTGCAACAGTGAAAGAGCTGGGAAAGACAAATCCCTGTAAGCTGCTGGAGAGTGTGAAGTAGAGCTGCCTCCATTAGCTGGGAAAATACACATGGGGATGAACTCATGTATTTTCATGAAGCAATAGTTGAGAGTGATAATGAAGGAGCTAATATTGGTGATAAAAAATTTTCCATGCTTTTCTCCTCAGATATATACTGTGTATTCTTGATGAAGATGAATAAAAATGGCAAATTTTCCATGTTTATTGATGTACAACACGTGTTTTTCTTTCAAGTCACCACTGGGGTCATGGCCAACACTTTTTTGCTTCTCTTCCAAGTCTTCATATTTTTTCTGGAGCACAAACCAAAGCCCACTGATGTGACCATTGGTCATTTGGCCCTTATCCACATAGTGATGCTCCTATCTGCGGGATTCATAACTATCGACATATTTGGGTTTCAGGACTTGGGAAACAGGATCACATGTAAATGTGTTATCTATTTATACAGATTGATGAGGGGCCTCTCTATCTGTACCACGTGCCTACTGAGTGTCCTCCAGGCCATCACCCTCAGCCCCAGAGCCTGTCCTTTGGCAAAGTTCAAACAGAAATCCCTGCATCAGAATCTGTATTGCTTTCTCTTTTTATGGATCTTCAATATGCTCATCAATGGTCGTTTCTTGATCTCCACTGTTACCACTCCCAATGTGACCTCACACAGTCTCATGTTTGTCACTAGGTCCTGCTCTCTTTTGCCCATTAGTTCCTTTCTCAAGTACATGTCTTTGTCACTGATGATTTTCCAGCATATATTGTTTATAGGGCTCATGGCACTTTCCAGTGGGTACATGGTGATTCTCTTGTACAAGCATAAAAGACAATCACAGCATCTTCACTGCACCAAACTGTCTCCAAAAGTATCCCCAGAACAAAGGGCCACGTGGACTATTTTGTTGCTCATGAGTTTCTTCATTGTCATGTACATTTTGGACAGCGTTATTGAGTACACCTCAGCAATGTTGTGGAACCATGACCCAATCCGACATTGTGTCCACATGCTGTTTGGCAGTGGGTATGCTACAGTCAGTCCCTTGGTGCTCATCGGTACTGAAAGACGATTGATCAAGTGCTTTATATTCACTGGAGGGAAACAAAGTAATTTTTTTTTGTTTCATGATAGGTAATTTCTCTGAAAAATAGGCCATTGAAAGACATCCTGTGAAATCATTGAAATATATGAAATTATGATTTTTCAGCTAAATATATTTACTTATGTTCCTGAAAAGTACATACTAGATTATTTAACAGTACATTCCCTCAAGAAGCACAGTAAGGTTTCTAACAGTAATTTTATTTATATGAACTAAAAATCTTATCTGGTTTTAATCCCTAAAGAAGGTGACATATGTCACTGGATTTTGACAATAGACCAAGTGACTACAAAGAAAGAGTAAGAAAACATTATAAATGTGCAGAAAAAATTGGGATGTTATTGTGCTCATAATTCTCTGTGTACTATTATGGTGATATTTACTGGTTTATATGTTCCATATGTAGTTTTATTTCCTTTCTGTTGCATCTCAAGAATCATATTTTAAAAGGAATTGAAAAAAGAGCAGAAACCTTGGATACATAATTTCATGAATTAGTAACTTATTAAATAGTTTTATATCTTAGAGTCCTAAGCATATAAGTAACATTGTATGGGATAAGTGTAACCATTGCTTTTGTGTGGGCTTAAATGACACAAATTCCATAAACTAAAATCATTATGGTCTTAATTCTCTAGACAGAATTTAATAATATTGGTATATACCAACAGAAAAATAACAAATTTTATTTCTATGATCTTGCTAAATTTGTACACTTTTTAAAGTGTATAAGTTATAAACACATAAGGAAGGTAGATATATGCTCAAATCAGTGTCTATTTATTTTTTTGGAAACTGAATAACCAGCACTCACAAGTAGTTTTGAATAATTTTACTAACATTATAATTTAAAGAAAAAAATTTAATATTATTTGCTTTCAGAAATAAAATCCATGATATTCTTTTTCTTGTCTTAAAAGAATAAGTAACAGAAATTAAATACACACTGAACTCAAAATTTCTCATAAAACATGTTTTTCTACAGTATGCAACATGTATGATTTGAGCCCAGGAATCATTTTCTTAAACATGTATCATGTGGGTAATGTTACCCTAAATGGCATTACAAGCTAGTCAGTGTGAAAACCTTCTGCTCTGAATTTTGCATAAATTAAGACAAACAATAATTTAAATCTTTATGAATGTTTACAAAATTAACTGTAATTCAAGTGTCCAAATATACATCTAAAAGCAGGATGTAAAGCAAAGCAAAACTGTGTTACCACTGCAACATTCAGAAACAATCTAGATAATTTATTTATGTGGTCTGTCAAGACAGAGTGCAGAAATACTAACCCTTAAATAGGTCATCAGAATCTGGACGGTGGAATTAAAGATCCACAATAAGTAGAGCTTCCAGGAGACAAATGTGTGGCATGATGAGTGCTAAAGAAGATAAGAAAAGGACTTCTCTATCTTTCCTGTGGTGATAATGTAAATTTTCCTTTAAGGCCAGTTTTATTTCAAATTTAACAAAAATGTGATTCAAAATATCTGAAAGTAGTTCCCCAGATCAGGTAAGAGAAAAAGTGAAAATCCATGCTGAGAGACCTCTGAATTTTTATCAACAATATATGACTAGGAATTTTATATTTATACAGTGTTTCAGAACCTAATGTCACAGTACAAGTCATTTTAAAAAAGTCAATGACCAATCCTATAGATAATGGTATATCATTATCTATTATCTAAACATGTGAAATGTAATAGAAATAAAAAGGACTAATAAAATTAAGACTTGAAATGCGTATTTTAAAATCTGCCCTGTAAAAATCACTAGTGGAATAGTTGTTCTACTGTGACATACCACTCCTCATACTTTCAGCAAAAATATTTAATGAAATTTTTCTATAAATTTTCTGAAGACCCTCAATTTTCACAAAAGCAGCAACATGGTGGAGTGCCTACACAGGTGTCAGTTTCCCATTTCTTTTCTCTCATGGGTATTTTTCCTGCAGTGGTAACATAAACATGTCCTTACAACCTGAGAAAAGAGCAAAGTGAGCCCAAAATTTAGACTGTCTACGAGAGAAATTCAGAAGAGACAGTCAGAGAAGGTATTTCCTACAATCGAGTACACATAGATCCCTATTAAATTACAGATATCAGTGTAGATACAAATGGGCCACACCTATATAAAAAAAACAAATACAAATAGATAAAAATCATCTAATCTAACACTATAAAGTCTCTTCTAAAACAAAACATGAACATGCTCCATTCCATTTGGAAAGAACTAAAAATATTGTATAATACAAACTTCCCCTCTTCCTATAATAGGCAGAAGACATATAGATAAAATAGATATTCTTCCATAACTAGTAGATTTAACACAGTCTGAATCAAGATTGCAGCAACATTTATCACAGAACTAGAAAAAGCAATCCTAAAATTCATATGGAATGAGGAGACCCAGAACATACAAGTAATGCCTGATCATATGAACAAAGCAGGATGTATCACAAAAGCTGAGTTCAAGTAATACTACAAAGTACTAGTGATAAAATGGCATGGTATCAGCATAAAAACAAATATGTGGCAAAATGGAACAGAATAGAGGATACAGAAACATCTCCAGATGCATTCAGATATTTGTCTTTCATAAAGTGGCCAAAAACATACACTAAAGGAAAGATAGCCTGGTTAAAAATGGTTCTGAAAAAGCTGTCTATCCACAGGTGATTAGTCTAGACCTATGTGTGTCACCATTTATTAAACTAAAATAAAAAATGTATTAAAAATATGAGTGTTAAGCTAGAAACACTGAATCTAATGGAAAATAAAATAGGTAAGACACTTGAAGGCGTAAGTGTATGCAAGGACTTTCTGAACAGAATGATAATTGCACAAGAAATAACAGCAAAAATCAACAAATGTGATTATATAAAATTGAAAAGCTTCTGCAAAGCAAAAAAAGGAGTAGTAAAGTGAAGAGACAAACTTCAGAAAGAAAATATTTTCCTATCTATTCCTCAGACAGAGAACTAATATCTAGAAGAAATAAAAAATCAAAAAAATAGACCACAACAATAAAAGATCCAATCAAGAAATGTGAAAATGAATTAAATAGACACTTCTCAGAAGAAGCACGAGTGATCAAAAATACATGAAAATATATATGTTGAAGTATCTAGCAATTAGAGAAGTGAAAATTAAAACAATGTTAAGAATGAAAATCATCAAGAAATCAACTAGCCAGCAAATGCTCACGTGGCTGTGGTTCCTACATGGTTGGTGGGAAAGTAAACTAGTATTACGATTATGGAGACCAGTATGGAGATTTCCCAAAGAATTAAAATTTGAAATTCTACTTGTCTCAGCTATTCCCCTTCTAGATAACTTTCCAAAAGAACTAAAGAAATCCTATTACAAGAAACATGCATACCAATATTTATAGCATCCAATTCACAATAGTTAGATCGAGGAAGTAGCCTGTAAGCACATCAACAGATAAAGAAACTATGCTAACTATAGATAATGTAATACTACTCAGCCTCAAAGGAAGATAATTTTCAACCTTTGTAGGAAAGTGCATATACCTGAAAATATAACACTAAATGAAATAAATCAGACATACAAGCTTAAATATTGCATGGTGTCTCTTATTTGAGTAAGGCATAAAGCAAATAAAGAGAAAAATAAAGAACTGATAGAAGAAAACAGAGAGATAGATCTTTTGAGAAGGATTCCAGAAGACCAAGGGTGAAGGAGGAGGAGAAATAGAAGTAAAAACATTTGTGAAATATCATGTAATTGTGTAAAATATGCACAATGAAGGTAAAAATAATGTAGTATAAACATGAACTAAAATTAATAATGATTATTTTGAAAAGAGGGTAAATGGATTTAGAGATGGTGGGAGAATAGTTGGTGCAGAGCGGAAGGGGGCTGAAAAAGAATCAAGATGTTATGTACATCTGCCTATTCCCTAAAACTGAATGTAAGCTTCATATATGGCAAACATGTGCTTATACAATAAAAAAAATGGAAGGAACAATTTCTCTTTTATACTTGTAATTTTTTAAAAAATTTAAAGATTCACCCTACATCATGATCACAATTCATGAAATCAATTACAGTGAAATCACTTACAGCCCTTTCAGTTGAATATAATCCTGGGTTTGGCATCTACCAATTGTCTTGATTCTTTAGAATTGATCCAATTTTCCTTGTTCTGTATACATTGAGTAATTTTGAATCACATTTGGATTCTTTGTATTATACTGTTATTAGTCCTGTTCCTGTGTTCAATGGGATGGTTTTTAAATTTTATTTATTATAGATGCTAAAATATAAAAACACGAGAGTGGTTTTATTGGGGTGAGAGACTAGGTGGAATTTTTTCCATATTTTTAATTTTCTAATTCATTTACTGAATATTTATTTTATTTTTATGACTTTTTTGTGAAGCTTTTGGTACAGCTTAGATATACATAATGATTACATTCATCATAGGGACTTGTACTTGTACATGATATAGCTTAATTCTTTTTGGTTTTTTCCCATTTCCCTTTACTCAAAAATCCTCAATAAAATTTTAGCAAATAGGATGCAGCAAATCATCCTGAAGATTATACACCCTAACAAGTGGGATTCATCCCAGCATGCAGGGATGGTTCAACATACGTAAATCAATAAATGTAATCCACCATATCAACAAATCCAAAAGTAAGAATCACATGATCATTTCTATAGATGCAGAAAAAGCTTTTGATAAGGTCCAACAGTCTTTTATGAGAAGAACCTTATAGAAAATTGGAATAGATAGTCTTTACCTCAATATAATAATGGCCCTCTATGACAAACCAAGAGCCAGTATAATACTAAATGATCAAAAACTGAAGGCCTTTACCTTGAAATCAGGCTCAAGACAAGGATATCTCTTATCACTACTCCTATTTAATATAGTACTGGCCATACTATCCAGAACAATCAGACAAGAGAGAGAAATAAAGGGATAAAGAATGGAAGAGAAGTTAAATTATTATTACTTGCGAATGACATGATACTTTACAGATCCTCAAATCTACATT